TTTAGGTAAATAGCTGCATATAACTTTGTTGTTTGCAAAACTTTTGCATAGGTTTTTTAAAATTGACAATTTATATTTGCATTTCCAGCTATGAAAACGAATTGTTAAACATGTTTGTGGTCGTTACTTTTTTTTTACTCAGATTTCATGTTTTGTGTCAGATTTTAGATCAATTGTGTTAATCCACTATGTCAATTTAAAAAACAAAACAAAACTGTAGATTCAGACATCAAAAGACTTACTTTTTTTTAAAAAAAGGTCTATCTTATTTAAGATTTAACTAATAAACTTGGTCCCCAATCTTGGGTGGGCTGCCCCCCCCCCCCCCCTACTTGGGTCACTCAGAATCAGAATCAGAAAGATTTTATTTATCCCCAAGGGGCAATGAACATAAAAGGGGCCATTAAAATTAACATGCCAAGAAGTAGCCCACTACAAATCAGTGCCTGGTTCCTCAACACCTGACCTTGTTGATCTCTCTCACTCATGTCTGCTTGGTCTAGCCCAGGACCCTTACTGGATGCAGACACCCCAGTATGTGTGTGTGAGATAGACGCAGATCATTTCTCATTAAATAACAAATGTGACTATTCCAAATCTTTAGATTTTTCTTAAATTTGTCTTACCTGTTTTAAATGATGTTGCTGTAAAAACGTCCAACTTGCAAAGCAGTGCTGCTGGACTCCAGAATATGTGCTGTCTTAAAAGTTTTAATAAGAAGAAATGAAGGTTTTTATATTTCTAATATATATTTTTCATAATTATTTATAATAAAAGTATATACGTTTGTTTGTTTTTTAATAAAAAAACAACTCCTGTTTTTAAATCTATCTGATGTGAATTAACACGTCTGCTTTCTCTGTCTTGAACGGTTTCATTTGCAATTTGAAAACTTTTAATTTTGATTAAATCATTTTGAGAGCAGATCCAGGTTCTTCGTGAAGTGTGTAAACATTAACTCTTTACTGGTACTTGTGTGTGCTGCCTCCATAATTAGCTCCCCCCCCCCTTTTCTTATTTGAACATCAGCGTAAGTTTGAGAGCTTCGAGCCAAATGTAATCTTTATTAGATTGTTTCTGTACAAAAAGCACTGGATCACAGAGAAAAAAACCAAACAAACCAAAAAACAGAAGACATGCATTTATTTACAGCATGGCCAGAGACAGAAAAAGAAAAAACCTGGGGGTGACACCCCTGTTTGTATCCTAAAGACAACTAATTAAACATTGTGCTTTGATATACTTTGATGATATATTTAATATTTCACAAAAATGCAGTGCCTCTGCCCTCTTTCACATTGAAGTAAAACATAAAAAAGTCTATTTTTCAGTTTAAAACCCAGACGGTGGGAAGCGAGCTCGCTGCGACTGACAAAAAGAGAAAGAAAAGCTGCGAGCTGTTGGAGGGGACTGATCAGGGAGGTTGGCTCTGCTGCCTGGGCTTCATTAGTATCACTGATAAAGGGTCTTTCCCAAAGACGCTGAACAGATACCAGCAAAAAGCTAACGTGACAGCATCCGGGTGACACTGTGCAGAAACTGCTGGATTTGCATAAAGTCAGATGTTTAATCATTTGGACTTCAGATTCCTGCATCAACTCTGCTTTTAACATTCATAGAAATACAAATAAAATTTGTGTAAGTCTGAAGGTTCAGGTAGGTTCAAGCAGTTTGAAAAAAAATGTTTCTTCTACCATCCTTAAACTACGCAAACACACCAAAAAGGAAAAACTGGAGAGCTTTACAGTTTTTATTACTTTATTCCGAGAACGTGTTAAATGTAAAGACAAATCGTGTCTCTGTAAAATAAGATGCAGTATAAACTGATTTTATTTTTTTCAACTTTGTTTTTGGTGTAAATTTGTAATGCTAATTTTATAATCGTAATACAAGCCGACAGATATCAAATTTATGCTCCTTCTAGTCACATGATCATGGAAGAAAAGACACACTGTCAGTGTTTTGTATTGGGGGAAAAAATGTCAGAAATTTGAAATTTTTCATTTATCACAATCCAAAGATTCCAGATCTTTATGCCAAATTATTCATCTCACAGTCTCCTGGATCTCTCTGAAATATTCCCCAGATTGAATCTACTGATTCATGCTGAAGAACCTTATTTTTCTCCTTTGTTCACTGACACGACAGTTATATCTAACATGTTGTGTTCACGTACACAAAGTGACACTTTTCCAGATTTAAGTATGTATTTGACATAAGCCTTTTCCTCGATAGAAGTTTACGTTCTTTGGTATTTCCTTTACACTTTAGTTGTATTTTAATACATTTTACTAAACAAATAATAATCTAAAAATGGGGGCCACATTTTCAAAGCCCCCATCCAAAACTTGCATGTTTATGCGAATGAATTAACTTCAAAGTCATATTTGCTGTAAACACAAACGTGATATTTCATGTCCATATTCTCCAAAAAGTAAGAATTTTTTCAGCAATTTCACTTTTTTCAGTGTTTTGATCACATTTGACACAAAGATCTCGTAGTTCTACTTTTCTATTGGGGTAATTTCTTGTAGTTAACAGATGTTAAATCACAAAACGACTCCAGTCTCCAGTTTTTCTTCTCTTTGGTGAAGGAATAAACTTCTACACTTTGTAATTTGGCAGTTTTAACACTTCTCAGCCATCAGTATCTGACGGTTAGCTTCTACAGTTGAGCATCTTTTGTATATTTCAGGGGGAAACCTGAGGGACAAAGACATCAAATCAAGAAAGCAAACAAAAGTAACCTTTGATAATTGCTGTGGAACCAAAACTTTGTCGGAAAAAAGAAAGACTTTGTTTTTAAGCGTGGTCGGTCGTAAGGCATCAAACTCAAGTCTTGGTTCTTTACATTTTTTTGAACTTTTGCCACAGCAGCGCGGGCGATGAGCTTGCATTTCAGTACAGGAGAGCAGTTGCATAAGTAAATGATCCAGATTGTGTGCAACGACGAGAACAGCACCATCGGCAACAACACCAACATCGATGGACGTTTCCTTGAGATCGGTGACCCTAAAAAACTTGGTTTGAAACTCTTCGCCGTGTTTTGAAACCGTGCAGTCAATATCAGCAAAAAAAATCCAACACAAAGACGAGGGTCAGGTCGAATATTCAGATGGATAAAATGCTGACTTCTAAACACCAAACCGCCCCCCTCAAAAAACGAGTGCTGGGATATTATGACATTATAAGTCTCTGAGATATAAAAATTTCACATGACGAGGATTTTTGCCATTTCAGGATGGCAGGAGAAAAAAAAACATATTGGTGCATATCGCTCTAGCTTTCATCTTTTTTCTTTTTTTTTTCCACTTTTAGCTTTTTTCTTTTTTGCTAAGATACATTGCTCTTATTAAGTGCCCCAACAAAAAAAAATAGTGCATTAAGAAATAACCATGATTATACATTTCACAATAATACACAAAAGACGAGAAGAACCAGGGGAAACAAACGATGCTGTTTACAAAAAGTTAAATATCGGAAAAGCGTTTTTATACAAAAGTGATGAAAGCGTCGTTTTACGTCCTGCTTTCAAAAACAGGGTGACCGTGTCGTGAGTTTTTTTTGTTTTGTTTTACAAAAGGGTTAATTCTTCCCACTTGTTCACTCTTTTTACAATATCTAAAAGGTATTAAGACATCAAATGTGTTTACATATATATTTGAGACTATCATTCAGGCCTAAATCACAAAAGAACTCCCCAAAACATACTTTATAAATACATATAAAATAAGCACAATCAGAAGAATAACAAGAAAATCTGGTACCTAAATGTGATTAAAACTGCTGCAAGCTTTTTCTGGTTAAAATCTACCACTCGACACACCTGCAAAAACAGAACTATTGTACTTGATTTCAAAATGAGACATCCAAAAGAAAAGAAAAAGAAAAGCTGAAAACGCTGGGCTGCCTCAACGTGTTACGGACAAATGTTAGTGGAACATTTGCTCGTCTCTCTTCGGCAGGATGCTTCATTCTTTCCTTAGCTTACAAAATTACTGCACTTTCCTCCTTTTTAGATTATGAGACACAAACATTGTTAAAAGCTATGGTACAGAAAGTAAAACGCGCTGAGACGTGAGATTCATCGGGGGCTTTAAGGACTCTGGTCCTGGGGGAGGGGCTTGTTGGGGGTTTCTGATTGAAAACCGTCTGACGGTTCTTCCAAGTTTGAAAAATGATTACTTCCTGATTTCCGGACTCGGTCCGACTCAGGGTCAGTGTCCACTGAGAGCTTTTGTTCTAGTGAGAACCAATCAGATCTGCAGCTGAAAACAGAGAAGCTCTTTTCTGCCTTTCTTTATATTTTAAAAATATTTTTATATTGTGTTGACCAAAGTTTTAGATGAGGTAGGGTTACTATTTACTGGCAAATTACCCGCTAATTTGTTTAGATTAGCTAAAAAGCACTTGGTGCTGCCCCTCTGTAGGCTTCCAAAAGACAGCCAATCAGAAGAAAAGTAAGCTTTTCGGGGAGGGGGTCAAACTGAGCTGCCTGGATAACATTACAAGGATTTTTTAGCTAAAAATTAACAGAGATTTGGTGATTTTTATTTATTATTTTTTTACAGTAATCACCAGCATTTTCAGTTTGAACAAAGCGAGGTATTTGAAGATGACACCATCCACTCGGCTGATTTTTTTTTTTTCACGATATGATGATTAGCTTAGAACAGATGCTCCCAGTGGACACGCCTACTTCCTGTCTCACAGTGGTTCGAACTGATCTGAGATCTGTTCAGCCTCCACAGACTTCTCAAGTCAAAGTAACCTGTTTAATATCTCAGCACAACATGCAGTACTGCAGACACCTTTCATCCACCCACAGTTCACGCTGAGCGAGCGCTGCCTCCGCCCGCAGCCACTGCAGACGTTTCCTGTTCCGGGTTCGTAAACGCCTGCCGGTGGTGTCTGCAACGGCTGCAGGAAGAAGCGACGTCCTCGGCTGATGGTGACTGAATTGTTGAAGTTCTTCGGGTTCGGACTCTGGGTCAGACGGGTCGGTCTAAAGGATGACGGGAAGGACGTTGTTGTGGCGTTTCAGGCTGGGGGAGGGTTGTGGGGAGTCTGACGGTACCTGGCTGAGAGTCCTCCTCACATGGGGGGCACGATGAGACCTGCCATGGCTGAAACAACACAGAATGAGTCAGATCTCATGTTTCGTGATGCTCGCTGAGCATTTCAGGCTACGTCCACGCATACACTGGATTTTTCAGTTTGATTGGAAAAATGTCTCCATCTGTCGTGAAAATGCAAAGCGCTGCCAAACTGCAGAGGTGGGAAGTAACAAAGTACAAATACTTCGTTAATGTACTTAAGTAGAATTTTCAGCTATCTGTATTTTACCTGTGCAGTTTTTTTTCTTTTACTCCCTACATTTATAAACAGATACCTGTGCTTTCTTCCTCACATTTTCAAAACAAGCTTTTGAGCGTTTTTATTTCACGTCACTGCGGCCTTCCCAACATCAAACCAATTTGAGCCTAAACAGAAACACATGAGAGTCACTCCTGTTCGTTTATTAATCACCAGGAGATGTTGCATAAAAACAGACGATAGAAGCAAAACTGTTTCTCCTTGTTTTGAGAGCTAACTTCACTCAGAGATGGAGAAAGATAAAAAAGGCAGGACAGGAGAGGAAGGCGAGAGCTTAGATTTAAAGAAAGGACTGCTCATTTAAAGCTCACAAGTAAGTCCTCACATTTTTAAATCACATATTGGGTCTGTACATGTGATATTATGTTGTTTCATATTGTGAGACATGCAAAACAAACTGAGGGAGACTGTTATTTAAAGGCTGCATGAAAATCCTCTGCAGGTTAGTGCAGGATAAACAGGTTAGTTTGTTGTACTGTGATGGATTTAAATCAGAAAATCGACTCAAGCTCTGAATAGAAATTATTGTGAGTTATGAATCTTTCCCCCACGCTGAGCCATTACAGACAGTTTTAGGGTTGCTCCACCTGCTGAATCCACTTTAACCCCTGACTGTCGCCCTCTACAATGTAGCAACAGGACACAGAGCTATGTTTGGTTTCCTTATTTTTCTCTTCATGTTCTGCTGATGTGATTCAAGCTGAGAATATTCGTGAGAATTAAAATGTTTGAATGAAATAAAGTCTGTACTCCCATCTACTGACATTATTTTATTATTATGTTAAAACAGCACAAGGTTCAATTAGCTTTCCACAAATATAGAAACGTCCTCCAAAAAGCTACTTTTTACTCTGAGTACATTTCAGAGCCGCTACCTTTTTACTTTTACTGGAGTACAGAACTTGAATCAGTACTTCAACTTTTACTGGAGTACTTTTTAACACTAGTATCTTTTTTTCTACTTAAGTACAGACTATCTTTACGTTTGCCACTTCTGCCTAACTGTGAAGAAATGTTAGCCAATCAAAAACCCACAAACATGGCGCACAGTTTGATATCAAAACAGGAGATAAAGGTGCACGCTGCTGATGCTGTGAGGCGAATTCAAAAAGTCCTTTTTTAGCTGAGTACATGCGGATGCAGCCTCAGTTTTTCTAAAATTCTACTTTACTGTACTTTAACATAACAATGTTTTATCATGAAAGTTTTTTACTGTTCAAGCTGCCCACTCAGAAATATTTAAAACGTCTTGGTGATTATAACTGTGGATATTACAAGACCTAAAATATGTTTTTTCATGAAGAGTGAAAAAACCTCCAGTTTTAAATAAAAACGCCTTCCTGAGAGGCACATCGAAAAGATTTAAGATACGTCTCGTGTAAACAGATCTCTGGAATAATAAGGGTTCATTTAACACACTCGCACAAAATATGCATTTGCTGTTAAAGTCTTTCTGTGAAGCGCTGAAAGGTTAAATAAAATCAGTTAAATGCCTGCGTTGTAAAAGTATTTGGATAAAGCTGAGAGATGATGTTGAAATAAAGACAGATCTACGACGGATTCTTGGACTTCACTGAGCCAAATAAAAGCTAAAGAATAGGACTCGGTTATGGGGGGAAATACTTTGCAGGGTGAAATTTGCAGCGGTATTAACTATAAAAGAAAAATGCTCAAGTTTAAGCTCCAAATTCCCCAAAATGCCAGAAGTTATGGATCAACTTTGACCTCCAAGTGTGTGAAAGCAGGAATCAACACGCAACACAGAAAGAGTCCTTCTCATACAGCGGCGCCGCGTGGACATCCACCTGCGTGTCCTGATGGGACACGAGCAGGAGGACAGCAGGGGGCGGGGGTGCTGACAGGCGGGACGGGGGGGTGGGATGCTCACCCTGGAGGTTGCTGCCATTGGTGGTGGTGCAGGTGGGGGCGGGGAGGTCTGTGGCCGCACGACAGGGGCGAAGGCGCTCTTCTGTTTGACTGCAGAAACCATATGGACAGGAGAGAATGAATAAGGGCCTATGGGAGTAGACGAAGAGGAGGAGGAGGTGAGGAAGACAAGGGAAGGAGGAGTAGGAAGGTGTGGGGAGGGGGTCCTACAGAAGGAGGACGTGACGGTAACGAGCAGGCAGACAGACAGGAGGTGAGCGATCGGACGGAGATGAGGCGAATCATGCAGGGAGGAGGAGGAGGATGATGAAGAGGAGGGTGAGGAGGAGGAAGAATGGGTCCCTGCCTCAGATCGAGCCGAGGTCTGCAGGAACAAACATGCTCCGAGCACAAACAGCTGCACATCTGGCAAAGTTGATCCATAACTTGAAGGACTTGTTTGGAATAAACCAACCTGAGAGCAGCAGCAGCAGCTTCATCCGCGCACGCTGCACAGGTGTGTGTGTGTGTGTGTGTGTGTGTGTGTGTGTGTGTGTGTGTGTGTGTGTGTGTGTGAGAGAAGGCAGGTGTCTAACATTGTGCGGTAAATTGACTTTTTTCCTTTTTAATAAATCACCCACTCATTTACTCTTCGTGTGTCTTTAGGCGAACAGCTTTGAATTTTCCTGCTGCTTCTACAGCTGACTCCCGATTAAAGGAACAGTTCAACATTTTCAGAGACGCTCTTATTGATCATCATCTATCGGTGGTCAGTGCAGAGCCGGAGCTGTCCATCAGTGATGACTTGAGCTTGACATCTGTTCTTTGGAAGTTTTCCGGAAGCAACCTGAGCAGACCCGGCGTTTAAACCAAACAGAGCCAAAGTACGAGTAAACTCCTGAAGCCTTCAGTCACGACTTCTTCAGGAGACTTGTCACATGTATTTGCTGCTAAGGTGCTTTCTCCTTTTAATTTTTATTACATTTTTAATATTTTGCTCATCTCCGGCTCTTTAAAGTCACCTCCTCCTGATTTACTCATTTGAATATTTCGTTCCTCTGAATCTTTAAAGTAGTCTTTAAACTGAAGATGTGACTTTAGAGTTCAGAAGCTTTCCGGGAAAATCGTGAGGATATGACGTTAATGTGGTCAGACGACTAAAAGTGCACTCTGTCAAACAAGCATGACGTAATGTGACGTTTAACTTAATGCTAAGCTGACCACATCTGGACTCTCCACTGCAGGTTTGAAATCAGCCGCCATCTCTGCAGTCGAGACTCTGAAATGTATCTTAACAGTGGATGTGTTGCTACCCCAAAGGTCACCGTGAAATACTGAAATTTCCAGTAAAATCTCAGACACGACCCTGAAGTTACAAACAGCAGATGGCTCCAGCTCTGAGCTGAATACATAATCATCAGCGGATTAATTTCCGTCTCTGAAACGCAGAGTTTTGAGCGCATCTGTCCAAATGTTGAGCTGTTCCTTTAAGAGCTTCCACAGAGTTTATGGACCACAGTGTGTCTGTAATGATTCAAGGACAGCATTTGAACATGGAACTGTAAAATGAAGCGGGGGAATGTAAATGTGATTTATCACTTCATGCCAACAAGCATCAGTCTGTCCTGGATCGCTGCTTCTTTCTCCTCACATTTCCTCCTCCTTGGCTCCTTCTTGTTGTTTTTCCGTTCCTTTTTCTCCAGCTGATATTAATGGATTCGGCCCAAAGCATGAATGCATGAATGCATGAAGGATGCGGTGAGGGTGTTAGTGGGGTTAGTGGAGGAGGTGGAGGGGATGGGTGAGGAGGAGTATGGACAGGGGGACAGTCAGAGGAGGGAAGGAGGAGGTGAACAATGCGTGGCAGTGTTAAGTCCACACACACGCACACACAAACACTCAGACCCTCGGCGGCGGGAAACTGTAGCTCAGCCAGGCGAGATGTGAGCCCACCTTTTGTTTAGTCGCCAGGGACGACAACATCACCTGGCAAGGAGACGCATTTTGAGCTCACTACCTTCTAAACGAGTCTCGCTGAGACTTGCTGAGCTCTTTGATACAGAAGCCAAAACAATGGAGCGCTCCCCGCGGGCGAGTTTAGTCTCCAAAACACACCTGCGCCTTCTACGCTGCTGCTCCGACTCCAGGCATGTTAATCAGCGCCGAGTGTAAAGTTTGACGAACAACACGGCCGACTCAGAAGCATCGACTCGTCTCCTGCAGCGGGAAATGCCTCACTTTTGTTTGCTCGTATTGCTCTGTGCACAACGCCATCATCAATCTGCCATCAAGTCGTTTTATTTTCAGCATCGCGAATCCATATACAGAGTATATCATCAGTACTACGAAGCCCAGTACACTGGGTAATGTGGTGTCAAGCTAGGTACCAACACTCAACAGCTCTTGGTATCTTGGTCACGTTCACGCTTGATACGGATCCTTTGGCCTTTTACTAACATTTTAAAGCTGTTAGCCAAATCACTGCTCATAATTACTCTGGATTTCATTAAAATATGATGCCTCCACCGAGGCATAAGACAAGATGAAGGAACGTTTTTAGTGCTGTTGTTTTTCTTCTCTCTCTCAGCAAGATAAAAGCAAACCAGACCAGTGGGTGGAGACGTGGGCTAAAGGTGAGGGAAGAAATTCTGGTTCAGATCCAATTTTATAAAATTAAAACATCGGCCTTGCTGAGAACATTTTCCCAGGCTAGTCCATAATAATCATAGGTGCTTTCAGTGGTTAACGGGCTCCTGAGTCCCTTAAAATACCTAAATATGCCGACCCTAAACCCCTACTTGGCTGAGAATAACTTCAGTTATTCTAATTCCTGTGCTTACTGTAAAGTTTTCAAACTTTTCCTTCTGGTTCTTCATGCTACTTGGATACTTAAGCCTCCGTTATTGCTTCACCCAACACTTCCAACATCTCCTTAAGCCGCTACCTTCACATGCAACTACATGGACCAATACAGCTTCAACTCCCATCACTTCATTACATGGACTTAATCGTTTTAATGACTCAACTGCCACTCCACCGTCAAGTTCAATTCAAACATCAGCCAGCAGCAGAGCATCAACATAAACGAGCAGCGTCCATAGCTTTAATGCAGGTTTTGGTAACGTGGCATCAAATGCAGATTTAAGCAGGAAGCACAGATTTCTTTTTTAATCGGTATTTGGAGCATCAGGAACAGCGCTGTGTGTTTTGGAGCATAAATACGTCTGATTTTAGCCACAGTTGTAAATGATCCCTCCTGCTGACTGCCTCCTGGATGGATGAGGTTTGGTTTCGTTAATGCGATATGTAAGCGTATTACTCACTTGCGTAAGCGGAGTTGGCGGTGGAGCCGTTGAGGAAGCTGGGGGATCCAGGTACGCCCAGGTTGGTCATCCCCGCCCCGTATCCGTTCATGGTGGACGTGATGGTGTTGTAGTTGGACTGCTGAGGCGTGGAGCTCGGCACGTAGCCGCGAGGAGACACGCTGTTTGAGTTACGGGAATAGCCTAAGAGGAGGAAGAAGTACTCTTCATCATGTGTCCATACGCTGACTTCAGTGTTTGGATAGATAATCAATCATCTCTCATCATTACGTCATAATTAAGAAATGAATCTTTACTTTAAGACTGTGAAATTCAAAAAACATTTACTTGATGTGACGACTTCCAAGAGTAACTGTCACTCTAAATTTCTCACAGTTTGATTGAACTGGACCCACGCTGTGCATTTCCAGCTCCAAATTTGTTATTCTGTGACTACAGTAGCTTTGCATGATTCCCAGCAGTTGGTGCGGTGCCTCAATTAATGTTCATTTAGCCCCTTCTCCTTTAAACTGTGTAGGATGAAGTAGATATAATTATTCAAAATGTTTACAACAAAATGTTATCGGGTTTTAACTCCATTAATCATCTCATGACCTTCTTGATTGATCGGGTGACCCTTTGGTCGAGAACCACTAAACCAGCAGACAAATTACTAAAGTAGTGAGTTCACTGTGAAATCTGTCTTTTAATTGCAAAGACAACGTTTTGTACAGCCTCTCTCCGCCCCAACCTCCTCCTTCTGACTCAGCCCACCTGAGCGTGAGACGTTTTTATTTATTCGTTTTTCTCAAATGCAAAAACACAGTCGAAGCCCTGTAAGGGCAAACCAGGCTGACAGGTAGAGATATGAAACTGAAAAGCAGTATTCATCACCAAGAAGATCTTGATAATGATCTTGTAAAATTATTCAGAATAAACAAACAGAATACAAAACTAATATCTTTTTTAACCCAGGAATGTAAATGTTTGGTGGTCTAAAACTGGTTTGACAAAAGGCCAACTCACATAGTAAGAAAACCTACAAATTACCCTACATTTTGCTGACCTCCTCACTGTGACCTCAGCAGTGACATCATCGCGCCTGTCACTGCTGGTCTCCTGTTATGAAGAGCTCGCCTCCCTGCAGGCGAGGTCTGCCCTTCATCTGTCACCTGACTCCTGCTTTTTACTTACCTCTGGTCTCCCTTCTCTCCCCTCTCACCCCCCCATGCTCCCACTGATTGACCCTCATCCAAGATGCATTGAATACCAATGTTCCCGCAGCACAGAGCCTGACCTCTGACCCCCTCGCGAGGCTCCACAGTTCCCACCGACCTCGGGACGAGCTCACTTAGCAGAGCTAACAGAGTGCCAAGTAGCACATTACGCCCTCTCTCTCGCCTCACCCTCCACCCTCTTTCCCTTTCCCCCAACTTCCCATTTCGGGCCAACGCAATTCCCAGCAGGAGCGGCTGATGGAGCGCTGCCCAGGGACAAGGGCGAGGAGAGGCGGCGATGGGAAACACATGTGGAGTAGCAGAGTGCAGGGAGCGGCCGAGCACTCAGAGTAAATGTAAGGATTGTTCTGTAATAAAAAAAATAATGCCTTAACAAATGGACTGAGTGTTGGGTGGTGTTTGTCTTGGTGCGTTCCCTCTCCCTATCCATTTCGCCACAGCAGCGTGGGAAGCAGATCGGATGCAGGTCACATCCTGCGCGCTCATTCACACCGAAGCCTGAAACGTGTTTGCTGCAGAGCAGTGCAGATGAGCTGGTTAACGGACAGTTTGGATTTCACTGTTTAATGACAAAAATTAACGACTAGAAAAGCTCTTTCAGAGTTAATAAACTTTTTTATCAGTTAAAAATTTATTTATATACTGTTTTTGTCACTTTAACGGATTTAAGCTCTATATTTTTAATTTCTTTGCCTTCTGTATAAACCGATGACGGTTCTCTGTCTAAAATCAGAAAACTCCTGCTGCTACTCTACTGTATGTACTGTAATTATACTAGTTTAAATAACATATGTATCAGATATCTGAGTATTAGTGTACTGACAACAAAAATCATCAGGTAGTGCCTCTATGATAGCAATAATGTTAGGAAGCAAGCTAAGCCTAGCCAGCTAGCTGTAATTTAGCAATGCAGCAAGAATATGTTGCTGGTAAAATTGTAGCATTCACTAATTTTTAAATTAAAACAACCAGTTCAATCAATGTCTGAGAGTTAGCAAACTTCATTTACTAAAGACAGCATTTTGCTATGCTGGATAGCTAGTAGTTTGTCCTCTTTTTATGACTCAAATGCTCTGTGACTGCCAAAATTCCTGATTAGACAAAACTCAATTTCTTCTGGCTAGAGTTAGCTAATTTTAGTACTAACCAAAGCAGAAAAACTACTTGCTAGCCAACATATCACTTAACAGTTAGCTAACTTTAACCTGCTTCCTCACTAACACTATGGAGCCACATCAGTGCTAGTTCCTGTCCTTACTCTGTGTTCTGCTGGGAAATAGTCGTTTGATAGCATTAGCAGTTAGTGGACTATTTTTAAGCTAACATTAGCTGCTGTTGTTTATGGCTAGTAGTACAAGGGCGACAGGTATTCAGGGAATTTACTTGGAAGTGAGAATACACATCTTCAAAAACAATTAAGCCTTATCCATGATTCTGTAAGCGTTACATGCAAAGTTATAAAGAAGGCTGAAAGTGGGCAGGTAAGTAAAAATATGTTTTTGGGGGTATTTTTCCTGGTATCAGGCTTCCCTCGTGACCCCATAAACTCTGACAAAGACAGACTCCAGAGGAAAAAGCCTTCATCCTGCAGGACGATGACATGATGCTGAGCAGGCCGAGCTGAATTGGAGCTGTAAATTACCTGCCTCGTCCGCCTGATAAGGTCTGGGCTCGAGAGCTGCTGTTTTTATTAATGTTTTAATCACGGTGGATAATTGCAAGGGGCACACAGAGCCATTTCATACTTCATAACAGCGGGGAGGACGGCATTAGATCCTTGGTGTAATGTTTCCGACTGGACCACAGTTATGAATTTTCAGCATGGCTGCTACCTCGTTTCCCATGACCTCATAGATTCCTGTAAGGTGTTCGCTGCGGGGCCGATGGGAAAACCAGGCCACGGTTTGTGGTCGAAGTGGAGGGGGGGTGTCCGGGGAGTAAAAGCAGCTCGATCTGCTTCCTGTCGACGCGCTCACAAGCTGTTTGCTGCATGTTTTCCTGAGCGTTCCTGACAGAAGCAGAACTGACTGCTGAAAGGAAACACTGAGGATAACAAACCCACAGAGCTACAGTGGAAACACCACCGAACGTATCTGCTAACAAGAACTGAGATATATCAGATTTCCACTGACGTCCAAAAACTTGTAGAAACACTTCAGTGAACGTGCTCTTGTTTATTTTGACTGTGTCTGATAGCAGGTACTAAAACAATAAACATGAATTCATGTGCTGCTGAAAATAGTCTATAAAAATAACTTTGTGGAGCCCTTTGGTAATCTATGGACGCTTGCATCCACTCAAACTAAAATGTGTGGTTTTATAACTGAAAGAGATGTGTGAACTTGAACCCTACATGGAAGTCATACATTGTTTCATGAACTCTAGTGAAGTATCCTGTAGGACTCTACAGAAATTCAATGACGTCCAGTGAACTTTCCTGACGTCCACTAAACCACTCCAGTCTACTGGACTCTTCTAAAGACTCTTTTTAACTCTCAGACTCTCAATAAAGTTGGACCCTAAAAACATTTGTTGGACTTTACTTAACGATACTAAACTCCCTGTCCCTGCTGGATTCTAGTGGACAGTCAACCCTGCTGGTCAACAAAGTCTACTTGGCCTCCATTTGTCTTTAATGCAGTCTACTGAGCACACTTGTGATGCGGCGTAAACCATGAGGCCTCCACCCCCTCCCTAGAGGATCATGGGTAGCAGCGCGCTCTCACCTTGGTCGGCCTGCGAGGCCTCGGAGATGTTGACGGCGAGCTGACTGCTGAATGAGTTCACTCCCATCATCCCCGAGTGAGCGGCTGAGCCAGTGAGCGACGGCAGCTGGTTGTGACTGCGAGGGACGCTGTAGAGCGCCTCGGTGAGGTCGGCCGCTCGCTTCAGGATGATTTCCTGCGAGGAGAGGGGAGGACGGGACATTATTTTGTAAGAGTTACTGTTGGCATGAAAATGTTGGAAAGCAGTGAATCTCAGTTCTGCGGTTCCCACCAGTGAACTAAATTTAGAGTTCACGGGACGTATGATGATGTTGAAGTTTGACATTTTTTGAATCTCTTGTTTTTATGTCATATTGAAGTGTGAGCAACGTAAATAGTCACTGAAAAATTTAGTAAAACCCCACATGGATGTTTGCGCTTCAGTAGAAGGTGATTGTCTGGACATATATATACAAAAAGATTAGAACTCACACATTGGAGAACAAAATAGTTGCGAAGTGCTTGGAGTGAGTGATGAGGGTTACCCAGAGTGAGGTGATTGGTGAGGTGTGGGGGGACAGCATTAGTTAATTGTCTGAATGGCCCAGGGGAAGCTGTCAGTGTAGTAAATGCAGGGATTCTGTTAGACGTATGAAGTCTAACACAGTTTTTCATTCAGGAGTCTGGGATTTCTGTCCTCTGTTAGAGCCTCACTATTACATTTTTCTTATCATTACTCATCATTTATTTCTGAGATATATCCTGAGGTTTGTGATGGGATGTTTCACTGATCCTCATGTGTTTGAGTTTGAAGAGGCCAAAGGTCAAAGTGAAGGTGCTCCCTCACCTGGTTATTGTGCGGCATCCCGTACAGAGCTTCCACCAGGTCGGCCGCTCGCTTCAGCAGCACTTCCTGAAAAAAGACAAAAAAGGGAGGTTTAACAGAAAACACAACACAAGGACGACAGAAGAAGAATCAGCAGGAAGCCATATTCTCACACACACACATTTTCCATTCAGCCCACAGGAGAGGAAGCGTCCAATCTGAGAGTCTGGGTTTAATAATGTGACTGATAAACAAGTGAATACAAACACAAGAAGAGGGGGTGATGGGTAAAAAAAAAGGAAAGGAAGGAAAGAACCAAAAAAGAGAAATAAAATAAGGAATGAGAAAAGGAGACAGGAGAAAGAAAGGAATACAGGATGGAAAAAAGGAAGAAAAAATTACAAAAGGAAAGAAATAAGGGATAAGGGGAAGGAAATTAAACAAAATGAAGGGAACATTAGGGAAAATTAAAGTCAGAAAAAAATGCAAGTAAAAACATTTAAATGGACAGGGATAAATAAATGATATCAACAGAAGGAAACAAGGAACAGGAAAGGAAACAAGGGGGGAGGAAGAAACAGAGAAGGAATGGAAAGAAACAAGGAAAGGTGCGGAAACAAGAAAAACCATTAATGAAAGAAAGAATGCAGGAAGGAAGGAAGTGAGGAAGGGAAATATAAAGGTAAAAGGTGAAATAAGGAAACAAGGGAGGAAAAAAGGTGATGTAAACAAAGCGCTGAATGGAGACACAGGAAAGCCTGAGGATGATCAGCTGACAGAGGGAGGAGGAGGTGTGGAGTCCCAGAGGAGCAGCAGTGGGGAGGTGGAGGCCTCTGCTGGATCTCCCTGAGGTATTACAGCAGGAGAGGGAGAGAGGGAGGCTTGTTTTTCACGTGAAGTGATGAAGGAAGAGGAGAAGGAGGTGACGGCTGCCACTCTCTAGGTTCAGCCATCAGAGCTCCGACCGCACTGCAGACGCTGTTCCCGAAAGTTCGAGGCAGCGAGGAAACTGACGGGAACTGACGTCAACTTGAGATTCGGCCCCGTGCGCCTCCCCCGGCCCCCCGACCCTGAACCTACACCCCTCTCTGAAAGGTTCGCTGACATCAGCACGTCACAGGTTTCCTTCACTTTTGTTCCGTCGTCTCCTTTTCCCTCCTGTCTTTCCTTCCTTGCTTTTATCCTTTCATCAGTTATTATTTCCTTTTTTGCCCTTTCCATTTCTTCACTGTTTCTAGTATATTTGATTTTCTTTGAGACTTCTACATCAACAGTGAGACTTTTTTCCCCACAACAAATATAAATAAATTGCAAAAAAAAAACAAAAACACAAATATAATACAAATAAAAACTCATATATGCAAATGAATAGTTAATAATTATTTTTTAATTTGTCATCGAGTCATCATGGTTCAGGCTTTAAAAGGTTAAAGAGCAGCTTAATGGCAGCGTCTGATGCCCTCAGCAGGCTTCCTGAAACTGGCCAATGAGAACAAATACAAACATTTCATGCATTGAACTAAAGTGAATGAAGCTTCCTGGTGTTCGTCTGGCATGTCAACGGATCGGTGTACTTCCTGGACCTCTGGTTATTTTTTCTTGAGGCTGAAATTTGTCGATTTGTTGTTCAGCAGCATTAAACTGTCCCTCCACAGAGCAGCGGTGCAGCTCTAATATGAAGTAAAGGAGTGCGAGAGCTCCTTCCACCTGTGATTATGAATGTGCGGCTGACCCTGAACCGCATCTTTGAACTCAGCATTAGAGATTCTGCTGCTGTCGAAGCCGCTGAGGAGAAACGTTTCCCTCGTCTCGCGGCTGTCGGCACGAATCACCCCTGCCGCTCAAATCTGCGCCTTCTTATTTCTGTCGAGTTTCACTGCAGAACGCAGAGATTAAAGGGGATTTCTACTTTGGATTCTACTGATTTTTTTTTTATTGCATTTTAACTTTCTGCTGGAGCCGCAGCTTCTAAACAAAAACGTCTCCAGAGATGCACTTTGTGTTCCCTCCCTGGCCAATCAGAGCGCTTCCTCTGAGTTGGCAGCGAAGCGGCCTTTGACACACAAAGGTCTCCGTTTCCCACGACAGGCGATGACCTCGGGGGCAACGGTCCAGCACGCGGACGCTTTTTTCCTTGACCTGAAGCTTGAACGTTGAAGTGAACGCATCACTGTTTGTTTACACCAGAATCAGCTGTTTGATGAGCTCTGCTCGTTCTTCTCTTTGCTCCCTGTTTCCTTTCTTCCTTCCCTACCTCCTTTATTTCCTGCTTTTGTCCCATCTTCCTCTTTCCTGACTTCGTGTGTTCCTTCCTACTGTCTCTCTTTTTTAACTTTGGTTACCGATCTTTCTTTCATTCTTTTCTCCCCCTCTCTTCCTTCTTCATCTTTCCTTGCTTCTATTCCTCCTTCTTTCCTGTCCTCTGTATTCCTTCCCTTTTCTCGAGTCTACTTTTGTTCCTTCCTACTGTCTTTCCTTCTGTGTGTCCTCCTCTGCATTCCTTTTCCATCTCATTTACCTTTTTCCTATCCTCCTTCCTTCCCATCTTCCTACCTTCTTGCCTTTCATCTTTTTCATTCCTTTCTTCCTACTGCTTTTGGTTTTTCTTTCTTGTGTCATCCCCTTTCTCCCTTCCTTCCCTCCTACCTGTCTTCCACATTCCTTCCTTTCCCCCCTTCTTTTCATTTTTCTATATTCCTGTCTTCATTCATGGTGTCTTTCCTTCCCTCCTTCCATTTTTCCTTTTATTATTTATCTCCTTCATTTCCTCATGTTATTTTTCTGCTCCCTTTCCTCCTTTATCCTCCACTCACTGATATTCCTTCCTTCCTTCCTTCCCTTGTTCTTTCTTACTTTTCTTTCTGTCTATCTTCCTTCCTTCCTTTCTTAACTGTTCCAAATGTCCTTTTTCCGTTTTGACTTGCTTCCTTATCTGGGTTCCTACCTTTACTTCCTTATCTTTTTTCTTACCTCAGCTCCTTCTTTCTTCCTTCCCACCTTTCTGCCTAGATTACTGTCTAGGAAGGAAGATCGGAAGCACGAATCCTTTGCTACTTATTTCCCGTCTTCCTTTTTTCCTTCTCTCCATCACTCCTTAATTCTCTCCTTTCCTCAGTCCTTCATTGCCTTTCTTGCTTTCCTTCCCTCCTGTCCTATTTCCTTCCAGCTCCCCTGTTTTTTCTTTTTCAAACTATAACCCCAAATAATCAGCCTGACAGGTGAAACCACATCTCTGCCAGCGTGTTTCTGTGTGCGTGTTTTTATGTATGTGTGTGCATTTCTCTGTGTGTGTTTCTGTTTCTATGCGTGTGCTTCTGTTTGTGTGTGTGTGTGTGTGTGTGTGTGTGTGTGTGTGTGTGTGTGTTGGTCCTCTGGCTTCATTAATCTCCATTAGAAAACAGAAGTTAGTTAATGTCTCCTTCGGTCGGCTGCGGCAGCGAGACGCCACGCAGCAGCTGCCCGTCTCTCTCTCACACACACACAGTTACTTACACACAACCGTACATACTCAAACATACACACGTTAAATATACAGTTGGCAGACACAAAAACCTCACACAGAAAAGACTTCAGCCGCTCTGTGTGTATGTCTTTGTTTTTGTGTGTTTGGGTGTGTGTGTCCTCCTTCTATTTTCATTAGCTTCTGACAGACACAACAGCCTTCTCAAGTTAATGACGCCTCCGAGGCCTCGCTGCTGCTGCTCAGTGTGGTTGTGTGTGTGTGTGTGTGTGTGTGTGTGTACTTGCACTTGTTCATTTGTTGGTGGGCTCTCTGTGATTTGTGAATTAGGCGCTGTACTAGTAGTACTACTACTCAGAATAAGAAAAGAACAACATGAAAACAGGAAGGAGAGACAGGAGCAGAAACAGAACATAAAAAGGAAGTGGAGAACAGAAGAAACAAAAGAAGTAACACAAGAAGAAGAACGAGGGAGGAGAAGACAGAGGAGGAGAAACAGAAAAACCATAACAGAGAAAAACAGAGTAAAGGAAGGAGTAGAAGAAAAAAGGATGAAGAAGAGGAGAAAAATAAGAGAACAAGACGGCACAAAAGGGAAAAGATGGACGAGAGAAAACAGAAAACAGAGAGAAACAAAGAGAACAATAAAAACAGAAGAAGAGGAGAAGACAGAATGAACAAAAGTAACAACAAAGGAAGCAGAACAAAATAAAAATAGAAAAAATGGAGGAGTTTTAGAAAAATTAAGATGAAGGGAAAATACAACAGGAAGTATAAAAAGAGGAAGGAAGAGGAAGCAGAACAAACGTGAACAGAAGAAGAAGAGTTGGTGTTTCCTGCTGACTGAACGAAAACGGTTTTTCCTGTTTTTGTTTATTTTCTTTTGTTTTCCTCCTTCGGATCAGATTTCCTCCCTCCTGCTGCTCGATCTGTTTCTTCCTGTCGGAGCAACTAATTGACTCCACGCCACACCGCCATACATCCTTATTCACGCCATCACACACACACACACACTAACAGCGGCCAGGCCACACCCTTTACACACACACACACACACATATACACAGACAGCGCCATCGGATTCCTGTCAGAGCGAGTGCCGGCAATCAGAGCGCCGGGCGCTTTAACGGCGCTGAAAGGCCCCGATCGATGCGGTAATGCACTGGCTCCCAGTTATCATCATCATCATCTCTTATCACTGACCCACACCTCCAGCAGGAGGAGGAGGAGTGTGGGGAATGTGGGAGAAGATGGAGGAGAGAGGAGGGATGGGAGAAGAAGATGAGGATGAAGAGGGTCTCTGGGTGTTTCCCCTCAGCTGAAAGGAGATGGATGGTGGGGAGTGTGGGGGGGGGGGGGGGGGGGGGGTGGAGGCTAAGTGGACATATGAAACAGCTGAGAGACGAAGGCAGCTGATTGGATCATTGGGCTTGAACATCTGGCTGGTTAATGATTGGCTGCTCAGACGCTCGCTCCAATGTGCGAGTCGCCGTTTCACCAAACTTCACTACATTTGATTTACAATAATTCAATAACTGCAACTCTGAGTGGAAGTTACGAATAAAAAGGGGAAAAAAATACAAGTACACCATAAAAATATTGGAGAAAAAAATGTGAAAATAAGTCG